AGAAGGGGGTTGAACTAGATGACTTCCTGAGGTCCCTTCCAACTCTAATTTTCTATGATTCAGTGGTGTTATACTTGTTGCCAGCCCGCAGGAGGCTATGGAGAGGTTTGTCAGCCTAGGGTTCCCTAACCACATCGAGGCTGTCAATGGCATGTTGCCTAGGTTGGTGTGATGGCCTGCAAGAGCTGCGTGTCTTCAGCCCCAGTCATGCTGTAGTCCTTGTCATTCTCCTGGACAGTGCAGGCTGCTGTGTCCATCACATTTTTAGACATGACTGTCTCATTGACCACAAAGATGTAAGATGGTTGGTTCATATAGTAGGTGCACATGACCCTGTGTGCGCCCAATACATGCTTGCCATCCCATGTCCTTGCGAATTGCTCCTACAGTACCTTGCACTTGAACTGACACTGGCCTTACTCACAGTCATGTCCTCAGGCCACCACTTTTTTTGTATTCTGTTCAGATTGCTTGTTTTAGTGGATTGACCAGGCTGCCCGCTACTTCTTGATCTCATCCCAGATGGTGACAAGATCGATTACCTTCTGGCTGGTCCAGTTGCTACCATGCTAGTTTAGAATGCTGCACTCATATTGAGAAGCCATGGTGAAGGAAAGAAGGAAGAATGCATGGATGTGTGGGGAGCAGTGCTGTAGCAAGTAGGGGGTGAGCAGGAGGACTGCCCTGGGCTCCAAACCAAAGGGGCGACAACAGGCACTGCCCAGCCAGGGCAGGGCATGGGATGGAGACACAAGCGGCTCCTCTGGGTTGGCATGAGGACTCCCGGGCAAGCATGGGGGCAGGGCATGTGCCCTGCCTAGATCTGTGCGCGGGGTGAGGGCAGACTGCCGCTGTGGCCTTTGCCCTGAGTGCCAAACTCTATTGCTATGGCACCGGGGGGGAGATACGGTAGTACAAACTTGCCTCAATGGATGGTGGATGGGTCTGATGACCTCCCCAACAACTGGATGATTAGGTCAGTGGAGGTCTCTGGTAACTAGTGTTTGCAGTTGGTTCAGCGGATGCAGACTCTGAAGCTGATCTTCGGTAGGTGGCAAGCATGAAATGGTTGGTGTAGTCATACAGGGCAATTAATAGGCAAGGGTAGCCACCTGGGGCCTGTCGCTTCTAGGCAGTCGAGTTCTGCAATCAGAGCCAGAGTGGCTGCACAGAGTTCAAAAGAGGCCAGGACTGGGGATAAAACAATACACTGTGGACTGGCATGCTTGTCTCTGGATAATGTTGAGTGACAACACTTCAAACACCCTTCACAATAGTGTTGGAAAAACTGTTAGCACCTCTTATGCCATTAATCTTTTAGGGGTTTAGTTCTGTGACAAGCGACAAAGACATTTGAACAACTGCAGTTTGTTCTGTGAGAGAACATTTTCTCCTGGGACAAGGGCAATGTCTGTTTGTAACCTCATTTATTTACCCCAAGGAAAGATTTTTTTTTTTTAATTCATTATCTTTCAAAAGCAATTTACACATTATATTTTGGGTGTGTAGTGTGCAATAAAATATGGTATAATTGTAGTTGTCACTGAAAAGTAACAATTATATGACAGTACATATTCAAAGAAAAAAGGAAAAACTAATGAATACCCTTACAAACTAAAAGTGGTAGGGGAATTTGGGGTACGTAGAAATCAATTATTAATGTTGAAATTAACTAATAGGATTAACATCCCTACCTCATAGAAAAATACATCTTTACATACCATGGGGGGGTCAGACATTTCTTTTTCATCTTATCTGACATATAGCACATTCAAGAAACTTTTCATGGAAATTCCTAAGCCAAGTATTGACCATGTTTAACCCTGTTTATTTCATGAGGCCAGACAAAACTTTATAAGAAGCTGCTATGGCTGCAGGCCAAAAGTCTTTCTATCACTCAGGTGCCAAATTCTAAAGTCAGGTTTTTGTATCCCCTGGCACTGTGGGTAACTTGTTTTTGCTCCAGTCCTACCAATGTTCCTGTACATAACTAACTTTACTCGCACTGAAGCCAATGGAACAATTTATATGCTTATTATTAGAGGTACACCGATACTTACGTCCATATCATATTGGCACTGATAAGAGGAAAATTGACATTATTGGCAATTGGCTTTTTTTTGACTGATGTGGCTGATAAAGTAGCTGATAAATGCTGCATGCATATGCGCAGCCACAGCATGAGCACTGCTAGCCTGGCAGCTTGGAGAGCAGCATCTGGCTGGTAAGTCTGTTGGGGGGAAGGGGTGTGGGGGGTGCAAATCAAAGCCCCTGCAGTGAGGTAGGGCATGGGGCTGGGGCTGGCACTGCCCGGCTGGGGCTGGCACTGCCCAGCTAGAGCAGGGTGTGGGACAGAGCTGCGAGTTGCTCATTTGGGGGGCACAGGGAGGGAGGGCAGCTCCCGCCTGTGTATGCACCCCTGGGGGAGAAATGGGGGGCATGTGCCCCCCGGATCTGTGCAGGGGGCAAGGGTGGGCTGCAGCTACAGGTTGGGGCCAGGGGCAGCTGGGCCAGGGCTGTGCTCCAGTTGTGAAGCAGTTGCACCGGGAGGGGGTCTACGGTGAATTCTGGGGTGGCTGTAGCCCCCACATAGCCCCTCTCTCAGTGCTGCCACTGCCACCCACAATGAACACAGCACTGGCCTAGTCCCCTGCTGGGAAGATCCCAGCACTGCCCCTGGCCCTAGTGGGCAACCTGCCCTCACCCTGCCCACAAATGTGGGGGGTGCACGCTTCCCCCCACACCCACCAGATGAGCCACTCATGGCTCTGTCCTGCACCCCGCCCAGCTGGGCAGCATCTGATCTTGCCCCAGTCCCTACCCACTCCCTCCCCATCACTGTGGGGGCCTCAATCTCCCCCCGCCACACCCTTTCCCTTTCCCCCAAACAGACTTAGCAGCCAGAGACTGTTCTCCAAGCTGCCAGGCCGCATATTGACAATTGGATCAGTATTGGCCGATATGGCTCGTTAATAATCAGGGCTTGATATAGGCCCAAAAATCTTTATCAGTGCACCCCTACTTAGTATTAAAGAAGTATTAATAAATAAGTAGAACTTAATCATTACACCTAAGAAGTCAAAGGAAGTCCTTTCCTGCCTCTCGGTACTCTTTGGAGCATTTATGATTAATTGAAGATGGAGAAAATATCTTGAATTTCAGATTTAGCTAGCATGTAAATTTTTTTCTTCTTTGGGTATTACAAATAATATAGTTTATATGGTATTTGTTACTAATTTATGATTGCATTCTTTAAAAAAAAAAAATGTTTGCAGAGCCCTACTGTCTACTTTACAGTATTTGAATAAAATATGCTATTTGTCCTGCTCAGAGATGTGCTATTTTTGTTCCTATTTATATATAAACGTTTTTCCACATTGTCCCAGGAGAGAAAAACAAACACACGGAGAAAAAAATAAGGAAAAACGACTTACCTTCAACAGGAACTGCGACACGACAGGAACCAAAGGAAAAACCCGTGCGGCTTGTTAGCCGCGCCTTTATTCAGCTGCGGCCGGTCAGTGACATAATGAGAGAGCCCCATACGACAGGGATAAAAGAAGTGGACAGATGAGGGAATGGGAGAGAGAGGAAGGACCTGGGGAGTGCAGGGATGCCCGGCTCCTCCTGGGATTATCTCCAGGAAGAAAGAATGGCGAACGAGGAGCCAAAGGAAGCTCCTGACTCCCGCTGCAACTTCAAAGGTTGGGAACCAGCTACTAGCGCCGGAGGTGAGAGGACAGCAGCTCTGCCTGCCAGCACAAGTCCCAGCGGCGGGGAGAACAACAGACGCCGCACAGGAGTTGCCTCCACAGGTGGGAGTGGCGTGGGTCGGAGGGAGGAGGACAAGCCTTGCCCGGAGAGTGAACCACAGTGGAGGCAGCCAGAGAGACGGCACAGCACTCCGGGGTCCCTCCTGAGTGAGGAGGAGATCCGGTCACCTACAGGGGAGCGAAGCAGGCTCCAAACAGGAATGCTGTAGAGAGCAGAGGAACGAGGTAGCCCAGGGCTGTAGAATCAAGGGACAAAGGAGAAAAGAGAAAAGAAAACTCGGATAGGCGTTCGCTCCTAGCCAAGTTGTAGAAAGCTTGACACCTAGGGCCTCTGAGGTAAGAGGCCTGGGAAGGGAGTTGTTTTTGTTCCTTTGACAGGTTAATTTTAGTTTCCCCAAGTGAAGGGGTGAGGAGGAGAAAAGGGGTTGAGGAGTGGGAGAGGCTGTGCAAAATTCGTTAGACAGCCCGTCAAACTGAGGGCAGGACAAAGTTTCTCCCAGGATAGCACAGGCCCCACAAGTAAGGCTGACAAACACAAGACAGAGGAAGCCTGGTGGACCCGGACATCAGCATCCGAAAAGGGGCATTAAATCGAGAGGCCCTACAGTAGCAGAGGAAGAGGTACGGGGTCGCGAGCTTGGAACAACTCATCGAGGTGGCGTGAGGATGGGGTGTAGGGGTGGCAGAGCCCCGCTAGTGACCACCGGGACCCCACGCCATGGAAGACCCCGGGCTAGCCAGTTCCCCATCACTAGGAAACATTCAAGTCATGGCAGGCGGGACAGGGGAAAGCTTCCTGTGGAGGGAACACCAGCACAGCATTTTTTGGGGAGGCTGCAGGGAGAATATCTCTCCGTGCACGAGCCAAGGTAGCACGTGACCAGTTATTCGAGAGTCGGCGGTCACACACACCTTACTATTATGTTCCAAAAATAATAACTAAGCAGCATTTACGTAATACTTAACAGATCAAACTAAGTTATTTTACAAAATTCATAGTTTACACTAACTTCAATAAACTTGCACATATTAAATCACAATACAAACATAAACACGTATCTCCTTGAAGCCACCAAGATCTGATATTTCACCACTAGAACCAAGCAGTATGCTTTAAATATAAGTATTGGTATTTCAAACTAATTTGGAAATTACTTGTTTAGAAAAAACTAATGTTAGATGCAAAAATTAATCAATACACAGCAAAGAAAATACTGCTTTACTTACCAGCCATGGGGGTGGTGGTCCTTTCAGGGGCAGACCTCTGACTTGCAGATTCTAAGAGAATTATAAAAAAAATGGAATTAAAATGAACTTATTCTGCTTTTGAAAGCCCCAAACAATGTACACTGCCAAGCCAGACAACTCAGTCACTGTTGCACCCAGTCAGGCTTAGGTTTCTACATGTGCAATACAGACAGGACTTGAATTCAACAAAATGGCTTTCAATATTTATTGGTAGTGTAAAGTGTAATTTAATCCAGGCTAGTTCTGCAGTACATAAGAATTTAACAATTTTTCATTTAAAAATCTCTATCAATCAGAAATAAGATGAGTATTATCTTATAAAAGGAATTGTTTGGCATGAGAAGAAGGATTATCAGAAACATAGGATGAAATAGACCATGGTGAGGAAAACATTTTCTTCATATGTTAATTCTATGAAGAAAAATCTAAGCAACCAGGGTTGCAATTAAGCATTAATAAGGAGACCATTAGACTCTCACTATCTATTGTACTATGTGGCCTGGATTACCATAGTATCAATCTCTAAAGTATTTATTTTCATAGCCCCTTAGAGGTAGTGCAGTATTATTCTCCCTGTTTGACAGGATGCTCAAGCAGGGAGTTGAATTTGGGTTTTCTGAGTCTCTGGATGGTGCTTGAAATGTTCAAAAAAAGAAAAATGAACTCTGTCCTTATGTATTACCAAATTAATACTTGTGTATGTGGGTTTTTTTTAATAGTTGTAATATAAGGTATAATGATTATTTATTACATAGTGCAGGTGATCTTGTAGTACTCAGCAGAAAATCAAAAGCTCTTAAAATGTTATACAATCTGACCTACTGCATACTTTTAAATAGGAAAATAACTGCCATTCTTTTAAGCATGTAAGAAGTAACTAGAATTAATATTGCTAAAATGCTGCCAATATTGTATACTATTTACTAATATGTACAAGTTTAATGGCCAAATTTCCTAACCCTTCTATCCACAAACCAAAAACTTGACATAGCCAAGAGCCACGGGACACAAAACTTCCATACTGTGCACGCCCCCGAGTCAATGTTTGACATACAGGGCCCCAGTTTAGATAATTTGTCATTAAATAACAACTTAGAATTAATAATAAGCAAGAATGGAAGTCAAGAACAGAAATCATGATATTTTCCATCATCATTAGCATTTGTTTATATCCCTTGTAGCAATCTCAGCAGAGCCCTAGGTAGATATGATCTTACTTCATAACCCTCTATAACAGTGAGAATGTTGATAGCACTCTCTGGGAACATTTAATCCTCAATCTGTTCCATATCTATATCTGTAAATATTCAGGTGTCAGCTTGACATCTCTGACATCCACTATAATTCACTCTGAAGTAAATTACTGTAAGCTTCAGATGAATTTGTGTAGATAGTTTAATACCTTTACAAATATATGCATCTTCTAGGAACTTACATATTTAGAACAGACTCTAATTTGAATGCGGGTGGAGTGGGTGTGGCATTCCAGTTTTTCTCTTGGGCCATGTGTAGATGAAATGAGAGGCGTGTATGAATAACACTTTAAAGTGGGCTAAATGCTTTTGCACCACTTTAATGGTGGTGTTTGTATGCCTCAGCGGCATATTGCACATTAATTCCAGCTGCTGTAGGAAATTCGGTGGCATAAAGCACCTTAAATGACTTGGGGCAGAGAAAAAACTCCTTCAACAAGTTTTAGTTTGCTGCCCCTACAGCTGTGGAGAGAAGCACCTGGCTCTATGCAGCTCCATGGCTCTGCAGGCAGCCTGGCAGCAGCTTGGGAAAGCAGCTCTGCCCAAGAAAAGCAGCAAGCCTGATCTTTTTTTTTTTCCCCCCTCCCCCTGGAGCCTGCCTATCTGATTGAGCTGTATAGGGGCCTTGTGCTTCCCTCTGCCACTGCGGCTGCATTGCCCCCTGGGACCGCCTGAGCCTGTGGGCAGGTGCCGCCTGGGGGGAGGGGGTGCAGCTGCTGCGGTGGAAAGTACCAGCCCTCCCCCACCCCAGGGACCGCTCTACCCGCCGACAGCTCGCCCTCCCCTCCCTGCCAGAAAGGCAGGTAAGTCAGCAGGGTCTGTGCACAACATGGGGGTTTAATCAGCCCTAAATTGATGTGGTGTTTTTTAAAACCCACTGCTTCAATTTAGTAGGGCCCCTGTTTCATCTACACACACCCTTGGAAGTAAATGCTCTTGTTTCTTATTTATGTTCCCTTTTAATAACATATATTAATAAAAGAAAAAGGTTACAAATTAAAGAATTTTTTATGCTCATAATACTCGAAAACAGTGGTGTCAAACTCAAGTAGGTAGGGCCTAGACCGTGGGGCTTCTCATGGGCTACAAGCCCACCTTCGGATCCAGGCCATAGAGTTCATCATTGCCCAAATCTGGCCCACAGGATTTATGTTCGACACCCCTGCTCCAAAACATTTAATTTAAAAGATGGATTTTGGCAACTGACATACACGATGTACTTACTTTAGGAATTTCAGGGGGTGGGGTTGGAATTTAGATCTGTAACACTCTCTCTCTCTCTTTTATATCAAAAGACAAGAAAAAAAGCCTTGACTTTCTTAACAACTTGGATGACTAGTCTTCTAGTTTGAAGATTCATGCATAATACTTGTTCTGTGTTCAGTAATTGGTATTTTAAATTTTTAATAGTTCTATGTCGTGAATGAAAGTGATGGTCAAGTGCTTAAATCTTTATTCATACAAAATTCCCATTAAGGTCAATAGAATTTTAACATGATTAAGGATCTTTATTCGCATCCTACAAATCCATGACACATTAATACTACTTCCCACAGCATCAAACCGTATGTAAGATCTGTGGCATTTGGTCTTTAATCTTCTTCAGAATTTTAAATCCATGTATGCTTGGTTAGACCAGCTAAGTCTAAATGAAATTAAACTAAGAAAGAGGCAAGGGAAAGAATAAAATAATTGTATGCCACTAGCTAATCACTTGCCTTTTCAAACAAGTCACTGCATATATATTGGCAGCTTCATATTTAAAGCTTGCATTTCTACTTTCCTTAGATTACTACTTTCTTATTTCAAAACAGTGATAAACACTTTAAAATACACATGGTATTGACAGCAACTATAAAAATATATATTTTAAGATATAAAAGTGCAGCTGACTCTCAGAGTCATTCTCATATCCCTAATAGGAACAATAAGAACAAAAAGGCCTTAGCTGAGAAATATCAAGAAGAATAGAAGTATCTCTAGGGAGTACAGATGTGGGATTTGCTGTCAAGAAGAATTAGGTGGCAAGGTGGTTCTGCTGCAGATTGGCTGTTTCATCTTCTGTAAACAGCTTAGTGAATAGAAGTTTCAATCACAGTTCACTGAGCTTTTCAGCATTTGCTGTGGATGGATAGCAGTGAATTGTGGAAAAAGAGGAGCAGCTAAACAGAACTGCCAGCTTGCATATGATTTATTTTTTCCTTATAAAGAACAGCAAAACAGCTAAAATGTCAAGTCTACGTCTTTAAATGGAATATTTTAAAAGCAGAAGCATTTTCCCAGCATGATGGACTTTCCCTGACAACATTTACTTTGTAAATCAGTTACACAACCATTCAGATTTTCCATTTGTTATACCTTTTGATGGAAAAATCAAGTGACAATTTGCCTGAAATTTAAATATGAGTTTCAAGTTACTTCAGACATCTTTTCTACAGCTGATGCAACATTATGGACTGGCAGTAATATTCAACTAACATCTTACAGTAGTGTAAGAATGATGTTGTAGCCACAGGGGTCCAGAAATTACGCAAGACACACAAATTTCTTAGAGTGATATCTTTTATTGATCCAAGTATACAGTTGGCATAGTTAGACAAACTTTTGAATGTAAGACATTCTTCCTCAGGTTTTAACACTTGCAGAGAACTGTGTCTAAGAGGAAGGCAGGGAACATAAAGAGTCCTAAGGCCTCCTTCAGTCTACCAATGCTTGCAAGTGTGGGAAGAGAAGTAGCTGGGAGAGCAGAGCATGTGGTTTGATTGTGCACAGCTTGTTTGGAGTTTACAAACTGTTACAACATATGAAAGAAATGCTGTAAATAGAAGCCTAGTAATAACCTAAAAACCAGAAAGGGGAGCATTTTTCCCTGTTAGTCTTGGCTTCCTCAGGGCTTTCTTTCTAAGGATTCAGATCCAGAACATTCTGATATTATCTTGGTACAACATGGGGAGCTGACTTCTCTTACCTTGAGAACAATTACACCAGCCATGGTTTATGCACTAGTGAAATAATACCTCCCTGTGTGGGCAAATAGCACCTACACCCGAAAACTGGAGACTACCCTGAATTCTGCGCTATGAACAATAAAGTGGCTGTCTGGTATACACTGAATGGGAAGACATGTTGATCTTGGCAGGAATCCCCCCTTATAAAACCAAAAGGTCTGGAATACTGCTTGACCTGGCAACCAAAGCCCAACAGGAAGACCCTCCACTACATGACATGATTGAAAAACGCAGAAACTTCTAAGAAGCAGAAAACCACTACTAGTATCCACCAGGAAGTAGGAGATACCATGCTGTCATAAAGGTTCCAGAGAAAGTCAGAAGAGCAATGGAATCGCAACTACACCCCACTACACAACTACATACAACTACCATCCCCATACCTCCTGGTCATAAACTCCCACATAAGGCATGGGTAAACCTGAATCAACTGTGATCAGGCTATGGAGCCTTCAATAAAATCAAACATAAAATGGGCCTTAGAAACTCACCATTGGGGGTAATAAACCCCCCACTGATACAATTAAGTATCGGGTAACAAAGGATCAATTAGCATAACTCCTCAAAGCACAACAGAAGAATAAAGCTTCAGGCCCAGACACAATACTGGTGGAAGTTTACATTGGTAACATCAAATGGTGGACTCTGATCTTAGAAAAATGGTGTAACTATATAACTGAGTCGGGCCAAATCCCATATTTCTGGAAAGGGAGTATTCCTGTACCGATTCTCAAGGAAGGTTTGAAAGATAAACCAGAATCTTATCACCCTATAAATTTGATAAACATTTCAGGTAAAATTTTTGGGCGCCATCTGTTATATCATCTGATAGCATGGGTAAAAGGGGAAAACTTATTACATGAACATCAGACCAGATTTAGGGATGAATATTCCACTATTGATAACATATTTGATCTTCAATTTTTGAGACATAAGTATACGCAAAATGTGCAAACCAGCACTGTATATTGCATTTGTAGATTTGACAAGAGCCTTTGAGAGAATAGACAGAAATAAACTTTGGGAGAAACTGATAAATTATGGGACTGACCTTCCTCTCGCATTTGTTGATAAAATATTATAAAGATACACAGGCCAAGTTAGGTGGGGCTTGAATGGTGACCTTACACAAAAAATTCACATACATCCTTGTCTAACCCCTGTTTGTATTTTGGCCCCTTTATTATTTAATCTTTACATGAATGATATTATTAGAAATATGCAGGATGCACATTTTCATCCCCAAAACTATTAGCAACCCCAATTCCTATTTTAATGTATGCAGATGACACTTATATTCTCAAGAACTCCTACTGGATTACAGAGAGCTATTACAACTTTTGAGTCACTTTGTGGACAAAGTAACTTAAAGATGCATTATTTTGGATTTATCATAATTTATTGGGGAAGCAGTGTGATGAAATAGTTATGGAATATGGGGGGGAACCAAACCTGAAGTTGTCAAAACCTATAGATATTTGGGTGTCTTATCACAGCTTCTCCATCATGGAAGCATCATATTCAGTCAGTTAAAATTAAGGCAGCCCAGTCAGCTGTGGCTATAAAGAAATTTTATGAAACCACAGCAGGGCAAACAGTCCAAGCTCCTATATCAGCGTGCAAAGCCAAAGTTACCTATTAGATCTTATATGGCACTGAAGAATGGGGTTATCCCACTAGTAATGATGTAGACATACCTCAGAACAAGTCTCTTAGGGCTCTTCCTCCCTCAACGCCTGCATCTTTTCTGAGATTAAAGACAGGAATGGATTCTATTTTAACTAATATTATTATTCAAATGGTGGGATTTTGGTTTAAAATCCTGCCCCTTTTACCATCTTGTCTGCTTAAATTATGCTACATAGAAGATATTAATAATCCCCCTCCTCTCCAATCACCTTGGTTAGCTTTTCTTTCCTGCTTTTGCACTTTCTGGGATGGGATACTATCTCAAAGATAATGAAAGATCTTTCTCCCACATAGAAAAGGTTTGGGTTTTCCAGAGGATATGAGATATTGCCAGGCAGAATGATTTTGCAGTAGCTAGGGCTACTCGCACTGCCCCTTTATATACTCTTTGGAAATTAGATTGGGGGGAGAAAGGTATCTACAGTTGGATCTCAATAATAAATGGTGATCCTCTTTGACTAGACTCGGGACCGAACAGATGTCCACAGCTCTTCTGGCTGGACATAGATTTTCCATCCCAAGGGCTAAAAGATGTTGCTAGTCTGTCTAGAAGTTGTGAAAGATACCATTCACTGTGTACTAGAATGTTCTTTATATAACGACATAAGGAGAACCTATTTATTACCGTACTTGCAGAAATTGATACGGTTCTCAAACACAGAAATTAATCTGGCTTTTACAGTAAACGGATCCAAATGTAATAAACTGTCTTGCAATTTTCGCTTACAAGGCCGAGGGGATTCGAGTTAAATATTCTTTATAACTGATATGAGTGACACATTTTAACATTAGACTTGATTTATTGTCTCAATTCTGGATCTATGTACAATAATATTATAGATTCATGTCTTGATTTACTACTATATTTATATTAATAATGGTTTTATGTTGGTGGGCTCTATTTTTAGTATAATATTTGTAAGTCGGTTACTTCGTTCAAAGTTATTTATAATATGGGTGTATGTGTGTTATGTCATTTTCAGGAGCATGGCATTTAGCCAGAATCCTTAATAAATTGAACTGAAAATTGAAACTCACCATTGTGCTCATGTGGCAAAGGATATCAGACAGCCCAACATATACTAACTGACTGCCCTTTATATGGTCCACCAGAGGGAGTGAACAGTCTGAAAGATTGCAGTAATAGTGATGGATCTACTCTTAAATGGGTGGAAGAGTTGACCTTCTGAAGTCATATACAAGAAGATCCAGCACCGCCCACAAGATAAAACAGGTAATTTTAAGATTTATTTTTCCTACAGTAGTGACTTGGTAATACACACCTTGCTAAACAAATCCCCTCAACCCTGCAATACGAATTATGTGGACAGACCCTCATGTCTCTGCTAAATCCCAGTGAAGCTTGTGGTACTCTACATGGGCATTTTGATTTAAGGATTGAATATCCTTAAATCATGGGATTGAATATCCTTAAATATGGGCTGGAGGCAGTCAGCGTGTCACTGTGGCCCCTGCCAGAGCTCATCTCTGAGCTCATCAGTATGTCACCACTGGTTCAAGCCAGGACCACCACGTTCACAACTCTGGAGCCCAGGGGTCAACACTACCACCCACTCATTCCGCCTGAATTCAGCTGCAGGAAAAAGAAGAGATGAGTGGCAGCAGATTCACCCCTGGGCTCTGAAGCTGCAAAAAAGCAGTGGCTCTGGCCAAAGCCCATGCTACTAACTGCACATTAGACATGTGGAGTTCAGGCAGGGCCAGATTAATGGATAGGCAAACTAGGCAGATGCATAGGGTCAGTGAGAAGGGGTTCAGTTGTGCTTATTTTGCCACAGCCGTGCCGCCAGGCTCCTTTTCCCTTCTAGGGCTGCAGGCTGCTGCCCTATACAAAGCAACTAGGAGCATAGTGTATTTGCCTAGGGCCCACAAAAAGATTAATCTGGCCCCAGGTTCAGATAATGCTCTTCTCTCTGTCCCCTGGCCCATTTCTGGGGGCTGAGATAGTGTGGGCACTAAGGCTCATGGCTCAAGGTTGCAAGCTCAAAGCCATAGCAGAAGAACTTATAGCCGGCCTGTCAGATTCCAACAAATTCTGTTAAATACCTTGTCACAAGGACATGGAAAAGGAAGGAAGGCCCATTTCTGATATTAATGTTTGGACTACTTGTAAAAAAAAAAAAAAAAAAAAAAAAAAAAAAAAAAGGCTGAGCACCATGGATCTTGAAGAATGAGGATCTTCAACAATCAAAAAAACAGTTGTATTTATACTCAGAAACCTTACCTCTTCTTGAGACAATGGCCTGAATTTAGTTTGATAACGACTCAATTCTACATTCAAACGATGAACAGTCATTTTCAAACCATCATTTTCATCCACCAGTTCCTGGGCTTGTTGTCTTAATGAAAGCAATTCTGCAACTTCCTCTACATTTAAAAAATAAAAAATAAATCAATATACTCCTGCGAAAATACAAAACCCTTGCAACATTAACTGGTGAAATGCTAAAAAATCTTTAGGAAGATAGAAAAATTATAAGGTAACTTATCTTGACAAGTATTGTAACTGTATAAATACACAATAAAATAAACAGATTATAAATTAATCAGATTCCAAAGAAGAAAATAACAAAAAAAATCTGTTTCTTAGCATTTTAACCAGTTATAAAATATTAATACAGCTTCCTGTTATTACAGCTTTTGCTTTAACTCGAGTAATAATGCTAATGTATTGCTTTGGGATGCAGGGACCTGCAGGTAAAAACCCCATCTATAGTGAACCCCATCTATAGTGAAACTATTTATTAGAATATAAAAGACTCAAAAATAATTTTCTAACATCATCTGGTCTACTAGTAGAACTTTCAGAGTGCCCCCTGAGCACTGACATTTTTATGAAACTTCAGACATCAAAGAACTCATTAGAACTAGCAGTTATTTAGTAAAAAGAGCAGAATATACACTGTTATCCTGGTGAACTATTTCTGTCTGACAACTATTGGGATCAGTTTATGTGGACACTCTATTAATGAGGGGATATGTCTTGAAGAAGTTAGAAAACTAAAACAATATGAATTTTTCCTTCAACTAAACCTATTCTAAAGTTATTCCTCACCTTCCCGTTGTGGCTTCTCTGCAGCGTCTTTAAGTTTTCCATTTTCTTTTTCCAGTCTCCTAAGTTTTAGCTGCAGTTCCTTCATTTGTTGTTTTAATTCCTCAACTTGCCACAACATGGTCTGGTTTGCATTGTTTAGAGACCAGTTTTCTTGTTTTAGTTCTTGGAACTTCTCTTTAGTTTTACCCATCCACACTTGTCGTGCCCGAGCAGATACATCTATCAATAAAACATAGTATATAAAACAAAGTATTTAGGTGGTATTCAGATTTCTCTGCACTATGTTATTAGCTCAAAAGGAAAAATAAACTTCTTTTCACAAATTCCCATGACTGTATTACCAAAAATAATTTTATTAGCTAGGATAATAAATGTCACCTAAGTGGAATCTATGTTAAATTACTTTAAGCAGTGAATATTTGACAAGTGAATAAAATCATAGGACACAGGATTTTGGGATCATAGATTATGAAAAAATATGAAGTGGGAAAGCAGCTGCATAACAGGAATGTATCTGCACTACTCCCACTTGCCCAATGAAGATCTCTCTCTCTAACCATCTCCCTAGAAGGAGAAGTGGTTACTTACAAAGGGGCCACAGCAATACCTATCCCAGCAACCAGAATGTGTTTCCTTGATGGGCTGGTTAGGCATGCTACACTTTTGTTAGCACACTGAGTTCTCATGGCATAAGGTTAGAATCCATCCCCTGCTTTCATTATCAGACTCCACAACAAGGGCCCTGAGAATAAGACAGTTGTGCATATGTCTAAATCTAGCCCAGGTTATATAACGGGCTGCAGAAGTTCCTACTTGAAGAACACGGAGCTAGCTGTTTGTACCTGTTCAAAGGTAAGAGGTGGCTATAATTAGAAAAAGAGGCTTGCCTATATGGAAGCCACTAGACTGTAATTGGATATGGTAGGAATTATTAACCTTTAGCAAATATGAGGCTGTGCCAGCTATCTGCGAAGGACAGAACCATGTAAAAGAAACAAAATGAAAGATCATAAGCATGAAAATATGTAATTATGTGATGAAGATTATGCATTAAAAACCTGAAGGGTATTATGCCTGGAATTGTTGAATAAATGTAACAATCCACAGAGTCAGCAATGGGTGTCAATGAAAACAGTGCTATGTATGCAGGAACTGCCTCATTTTATCTTCAGTTATTTATGCAAGTAGCAATGGTAACACTTTCTAGTGTACACAGACTTGGGAAGTAGAGGGAAGGACATGTGTGACAATAATACCTTACTGTATGTAACAAATATTAATTCGACTGGACTGTTAACTATTGGCTTTGTATTTCTTAACAGCTCTATCTGTAACTTACTTCTCTGGGAGATCTGGTAAATATGCTTTATTTCTGATACAAATAATGGCTTTTTAATTTATCAGCAGATGTGATTTTATCACTGAAAAGTGATGGTAGCCAATACCTATTTTCTTTACCTAAAATAAGCAATCAGCCAAAATGTACTACTTCTGTTCACATTTGGAAAATAAGAACATATATAAATAGCTAATGCAAAGAAAAGCCTGGAGCTACTGCTCTTATACACAAAGTAGTCAACATTTTACTACCTCTAGTATAGAAGTATAGCTTTATCCCAAATCAACCACAAAGTGTAAAAATTAAAAAATTAATTTCAGTGTATTTAATCTCTAAAGTAAAGGGATTAATAGTAATGTCAAACATAAAATGATAGTACCTGGGGATGGTGGAGGCTTTTCACTTAGTGGCTTTTCAACTGACAATTTTTCCTCCTAGGAAAAAAAGAGAGAGAGGGGGAAAAAAAAAAGAGAGAATATGTTTAGTTTTTAAAGGAACCTAATAGCATCGCTATCAAAAACAGAAAATATAATATTTAGCAAACATGTAAGAATGAACTATTATACAGTTACAATACTGTAGCACTTACTCTAATCATATTTGGGTATTCTCATATATAACCTGATGGCAAAATAAACCATAAGAGGAAAATTGTGGCCTTTAAAAAAGAACTCGGTCCATAAGTCTATTTCAGCGTCTTATTTACTCTGTTCCTGTTGGTGGCAAGCAATTTTACTATATTTACCTGAATCTAAGAAAACTTTGAATTCAAGACAACTGCTCCAATAATAAGATTTTATATATAGAAAATGTGTTGAAATTTTTCAGGTACAGAATCAAATTATCAAAGGGTTGTATTAAATGCAGTGGGGAAAGAGGCAGCAGGGGTGCACGCAGTAGTGGGGTTGAGGGGCAAGCGGCTTCTATCATTTGTCCCCTCTGTAGCTGGCCTACCGCAGCGGTGCCTGTGACTGTCACCTGCATCCCCTGGTGCCTGCTACACAGTCCACCTCCTTCCTACAGACTCCTGTCCTAAATCAGGATCGGAATCAAAGCCACAGCAGCCACCTGCCCCACCCCGCACCACCTTGTACTCAAATCCAACATGAGGAGCTTTTTTTTTCTCATGTTGAATAGGGGAAAGAAACCCTACTTTTAGATTTGAGTAAATACAGTAATCTCTCTGCACATAAGCTTATCTGCCTGTAAAACAGAATAGCAGTAGTGCTTTATGTAGTATTTACCAGTGGCTATACCAAATCTTTTCTTCTTATTGCTAATCCTTGATAAAAGGAGGAAAAGTTCAAAGGCAGAAGGAAGGAGGGAAGGACAGACAAAAGGAAGGATGGACAGATGGACATTTGCTTATAATAGTGCCCACAATAGTTACATGGTCCACTGAAATGAATGCCTACATGAATGCACCTATAAATGCATCCACACGGCAGTTGTATTGTTTAGAGACCAATTTTCAGAACTTAGAAACTTTGGGTGTCTGTAGGTGTGCCTGGAGGCTGCTAAAATGCACTGTAATTACAACTAATTAGCATGCTCCAGCCAGCCTCTGTGTCTCATGCATCAGTGTCCCCATGCTTCAAAATGGCAGCAGGGGCCCTTTAATTAAAGCTCATTTGATATTTTAGTTAAAGCGCCCCCACTGCCATTTTGAAATGTGGGTACGCTGATACACGAGATGCTACACAGGCACTTTAATTAGAGCGGCTCTTGGAGTTGCTTTAATTAAAGTACTTCCCCCCCACCCCACCCCCCACCCCCTCGAGCATTTTAAGACCAGGACTTCTTAAACCAGGGCTGTCCAGCTGAATGTTTGGAGGCTGAATGTCCCCTAGTACTCCTTGCCTCTTCTACTATGGGGCCCCCAGACTGTACCACCCTGCCCCAATATTTGAGTGCTTAAACAAACTAAAAGTCCCTACACAGTGCTAACAACCACTTGCTAGTCACAGTTGTATAGTCAAGTAGTATTTGTTGGCAAAATCTATCGAGAATTCCTATCTAGTAAGTGTGGCAGAAGACCAGCTTGGCTTAGCAGGGAACTCTTTGGTAAACTAATTCACTAAAAGGAAGCTTATAAGAAGTGGAAAACTGGACAAACAACTAGGGAGAAGTATAACAGTACTGCTCAGGCATGCAGGGATGAAGTCAGGAAGGCCAAAGTGCAATTGAAGTTGTAGCTAGCAAGGGATGTGAAGGCTAACAAGAAGGGCTTCCACAAGTATGTTGATAGCAAGAGGAGGATCAGGGAAAGTGTGGGTCCCTTACTGAGTGAGGGAGGCAATCTTGTAACAGAGAATAAAGAAAAGGCTGAAGTGCTCAGTGCCTTCTTTGCCTCAGTCTTTACGCACAAGGTCAGCTCCCAGACTACTGCACCTGGCAGCACAGTTTGGGGAGGAGGTGAGCAGCACTCAGTGGTGAAGGAACAGGTTAGGGACTATTTAGAGAAGCTGACATACAAATCCATGGGGCTGGGTGGGATGCACCCAAGGTTGCTAGGGGAGTTGCAAGATGTGATTGCAGAGCCATTGACCATCATCTTGGAAAATTCATGGCGATCAGGAGAGGTCCCAGATCATTAGAAAAGGGAAAACATAGTGCCTATCTTTAAGAAAGGGAAAAAGGAGGATCTAGGGAACTACAGACCAGTCAGCCTCACCTCAGTCCCTGAAAAAATCATGGAGCAGATCCTCAAGGAATCCATTTCTAAGCACATGGAGGAGAAGGTGATTAGGAACAGTCAGCGCGGATTCAACAAAGGCAAATCATGCCTGACCAACCTATTGCCTTCTTTGATGAACTGACTGGCTCTGTGGATTCAGGGAGACCAGTGGATGTGGTGTCCCTTGATTTTAGCAAGGCTTTTGATACGGTCTCCCACAACATTCTCGCAGGCAAGCTAAAGAAGTATGGGCTGGATGAATGGACTAGAAGGTGGATAGAAAACTGGCTAGAACACTGGGCTCAGAGAGTAGTAACCGATGGCTTGATGTCTAGTTAGCAGCTGGTATTGAGTGGAGTGCCCCAGGGGTTGGTCCTGGGGCTGGTTTTGTTCAATGTCTTCATCAACAACCTGGAAGATGACATAGAGTGAACCCTCAGCAAGTCTGCAGATGACACCAAGCTGGGGAGAAGTAGTAGATATGCTGGAGGGTAGGGCTAGGATTCAGAGTGACCTAGACAAATTGAGGGAACTGGGCTTATTTAGTCTAGAGAAGAAAAGACTGAGAGGGGATTTAATAGCAGTTTTCAACTACCTGAAGAGGGGTTCAAAAGATGATGGAGCTCGAGTGTTCTCAGTGGTGGCAGATGACAGAACAAGGAGCAATGGTTTCAAGTTGCAGCAAGGGAAGATTAGGTTAGATATGAGGAAGAATTTTCTTACTAGGAAGGTAGTAAAACACTGGAACAGGTTAGTGTAGTGGAGGTAGTGGAATCTCCATCTTTGGAAGTTTTCAAGATCTGGCTAGCCAGAGCTTTGGCTCAGATGATCTAGTTGGGGGTGGTCCTTCCCTGAGCAGGGGGGTTGGACTAGATGACCTCCTGAGGTCCCTTCCAACCCTAATTTTCTATGATTCTATGATCTTCAGCAAAATAACTGACAAAGTAATAGGTAGCCATCTCCTCCATCTACTTCTTATTACCTACAGACCTCCCTACGTGTACACTGTATTGTTGCCAGCCTACTAGGACAACAAGAAACTGAAGCTACTTCCAGAGTTATGGTTTGTTTTGTCACTTTAATTTTGATATCTTAAAATGTATAGAAGTTGTCAGTTTCTGGATTGTTGTGTACTTTTTCTTGAGTTTGTTTTGCTGATATGACATGTATAATTTCTAAATATAGGAAGTGTCAAGGTGTACTCAGCCTTATCATCCTTATGTTCATATGCACTGGAGTGTTTGATGTAAGAGGTATTTCTTCTATGTTATAAGAGGGCCAGGATTGCACAATATGATAATGACTTTCACAAGAGAAAACAATTAATTTCATTGGCACCTAGGAGAGCCATAAGGCCTAAACAGATGAAGAATAGTAACCAATGGGTGGATCTACACTTCAGGAGTGGCTGTATTTCACTAAATGGTAAAGCTATCCCTTTATGCCATTTGTCTATAATATGTGCCTTGTGATATTTCAAATGAATGATTAGCACTATTACTTGGTGTAAAGATTCCCAAGTGGAAACAAAGCACTTTTCATTTGAGTGATTCTTAGTCATCAGCCATCAATAACACTTTTTAAAAGAATGCGTTGCAAATCATTATCTTCATAGTACTCTTACCTTTAAAATCAAAGCAGGAAGTTCATCTTCTGTTAAAGAAAAAAATTATAAATTTCAATCCATTCAAAATAAAAATTCTTACAAGCATGTAAAATTATAAGGCTATATCTTGGGGAAATAAAAAGCTACTATAGAAGATGTTAAGAAATTCATTCTAATATAAATACAAGAATTAGAAAATGTGCACCCTCTTCCACTATACCCTAAGACTAGTGATTCTCAACTAGGGTGTCATAGCAATGTTAGCACTGTCAAGTGTACAAACATGATTCACAAGATAAACCCAGTGGGTGCATCCAGATGAGCAGGAAT